CAAAGGTTAGTCTATACTTTAATATTTTTTTGTGCGCTTTAGGCTTGGTTCAAGAAGTGGTTGTTTACACTTTCAGTGATTCAAAACATTGTACATCAATATCTGACGGGTATGTATCAGGTTCACTGGACTTGTTGTGGGATTCAGTGATGTAGATCCAGTTCGATGGCCAGGTTCGAAATGGAGGTGCCTTTTGGTATGCTTCCTGTCCTGCACTCCTTGTATTCGGATGGCATAAAGCTTAGATACTCCACTTAAGTCTTAACATCTGGTTAAGTAATCGTAAATAGAGGAGGAAGTTCTTTTCTCACTCAGGTTAAAATGGTTGTAGGTATGGGGGCTGATATTCTATTTGGCACAGCGTGCCTTGGTTGAGATAAATAGAACCCTTGCTCATGTTTGTTACCTAGTTTCTGCTTTCTCATATATTGATAAAATGGAAACAAGAATAGTCTGCATATGTAGATTTAGTTTTTTAGGTAAGGGATGTTTGCAGTTCGATTAATAATTTGTTTTTCAGATGTTGGAACCAATCCAAACCAATTAAGTTGTTTTTTCATTGCTTAGGTTACTGTCGGATTTTTCGCTCTAAAAAATTATCTTTTTCAGCCTTTTTACTTTATTTCTAAAATACTCCCTCCGTTCACTTTTACTTGTCATTTATTCCTAAAATAGATTTTCAATTTTACTTGTCACTTTTGACATATGAAGAAAAGACTAATAATTTTTTCCCATGTTTTACCCTCAACATTAAATACTTATTTCCAAATCATTTTCTAAGACATCATTTAATAAGAGATAGTTTGGTAAAATATCTATATCATTAATTATTATCTTGATGGGTGTGCCAAGTCAAACTGTGACAAGTAAAAGTGAACGAAGGATGTATAAGATAATATACTTCTAAAGACATTAGGTTGACCATATTCCAACATAACACAATCAAATCAATTAAATTGCTAGAAAAGAAGCTAGTATGTATGTATATATAAAGTTATGTGTGTAGCTTTGCATTGTCAAGAATTTAGTTATTTTTAAGGAATATAATCAAATTTCTTACAATGAATTCATTAAGATTACTTCATTAATACAGCAGGCAGTGTCAATACTATGTAAACAGTATCTGAATGACTCAACAGTAGTCATTTATTATGTTATGAGTTTAGTACATGAATTTCCTCTTTACAGCGAAGAATAAATGAAACGGTTGACACCATCTTGGTATATGATCAATGAATACTTTCATTTCTCCAAATAACTTGTAATAATAAATGAAGAAAAGATCTTTCTATAACTCTAGTATTTGTTATCACATTGTGAATGTCTGGAGACTAGGTCTAGATATGCTAATATAGCTGCAAAAATTGTATAATGTTTTCACTAGTGTTTTGCAACTTTTTTCAACTTAGATATTTCCTTTATAAAGTGTGGGTGGAATGATTACAAATAGATGAGAAACCTTTTTTAAAACTGCCAAGTTTATTTTATACTTGCAAACAGTAAACCACAAGATTTGTTGTTTCAGAGTTTTGCTATTCATTTGGTAATATAATTACAACTACGGAAAATTCATGCAGAAGTATCTCAACATTGAAATTACTTCTGATACTTTTTAGGACTAAGTTTTTGATCACTTCTAGGTAAGTTCACTTTAATTTATTGAGGTCACTTACATGTGTATATTTCTCCCCTTGGAATGTAATGTAATGGTTAGTTCTAGCTTTCTTCATCCTTCTTTAGTTAGCTAATGAAACCTCCTTCTGCTTTTTGACCAAACAAAGTGTTGAATTAGTTGGACATCTTAAATAGTGGTTCCAATGTGCACAGTTGTTTTTCTCATGTCTCTAGAAACTTTTTTTTGGCTCTCTTAATGTGTTACTGAATGGATATTTCAGGTCAGATGGGATGATCTTGATGTGTCTAGACATAATAGGGTTTCACCATGGGAGATTGAGCCATCTGGTTCAGCTCCTGTGTCCAGCAGCTTGGTGATGCCTTCTGCAAAGAGGACCAGGGTTGGCTTTCCTATTTCAAAGGCAGATTTTCCAATTCCTAGAGGTTTCCCTTCATTCCCTCTCTCTCTCTCGAGCGCACACACAGCACAACACGTGCATATAGAGACACACACTCACATCTCATTCCTGCTTGAATTCAGTAGTATGATACTTCTGCAATGGTAATAACTAGTCTGTGCCTTTATTTCTTACAGAAGGAATTGCAGTATCAGACTTTGGGGAATCTTCTAGGTTCCAGAAGGTCTTGCAAGGTCAAGAAATTTTGAGGATGCATGCTCCTTATGGTGGACTTGATGCTCGGAGTCCTCGTCCGGCGGGCATAAGATGCTTTCCTGGTTTTCCTAGTTCTGGGATATCTAGAATGGGAAACAGCATCAGACCCCTGCTTGGTGACACTGACAAGTCCCATGAAAGCATTGGCTTTAGTGAATCTCTTCGATTCAATAAGGTCTTGCAAGGTCAAGAAATTTTTACAAGCCCTCCTTATGGGAGAGCTCAAGCTGGTATCCAAATGCAGGAGAAAGGTAGGACTGGTATTTTTGTCGGTATTCAGGTTCCAAACCATGGAAATAGGTGGCCTGCTCCAAATCAGGATAATAATACTCGTTGCAAGCCAATTAATCCTGTCTCAGCATCATCACCACCTTCTGCACTCACTTTTCAGCATCCAAGCCCTCCAGCTTCAAAGTTCCAGGCTATGTTCAATCATAAACATGGGAAACATGATCTTGGCAACCAGGCTTCTTTAGATATGTCTGAGAACTGTTGTAGGTATCTCGCATCTGGTTCACATACTGAGGACATCAGTAGGAAGGAAGGTACTCAAGGAATCAGCTCTTTTGGTTTCTTAAAGGAGCAAAAGCAAACAGGAATTTCATATCTTTCTCTTGGGACACAGTCGTCATTCAAAGGCAATCAAAACTTAGTTTCCACATGTAAAACCAGTTGCAGGATCTTTGGATTCCCCTTGACCGAGAGTAAAATAAGTGCAACTAGAGCGGAAACTCCCTCTGAAGCCGTGTACTCACTTGGTCTAGAAACTACATTTCTCCCTACTGGTGATGGAAAGTTGCAGCCAGGGCCACCATTGGTGACTAATGTTGTGGGAACAAATTTTACTAAAGTAAATGACCTCTATGCAGCAAGAGATGTGCTTCTTGATATTGCTCTGTAGCAGGTGTTTGTTGTGAGGTTGTGCTAGAATATGTAGACTGAAGGATGTGTGTGCAGCATTATTGATTATTAGATTTTAGTAGGCCCTGTAATCTTCTGGCTGTTGAGTGCGCAAGCATTTGGTTGCCAGTTGAATGCTTATCCAGAGATGAAAATTGAGAGTTTTTAATGAAGAAGATTGATACCGTTGAGGAACGTATGTGCTTGTAAGTACCTGCACTACATATTTCACCGATCTACTTTCATATATTATCAATGCATAATTTCATGACAGTTTCAATAAAGAATTACTTTTTGTCTATTGGGGGGGGAGCATAGAGCATAGCTGTAGATGGTCTGAAGTTTAAATTTTGATTGAATAATTAAAGTTCACTCTATAAGAAGGAATTCTAACTGTGGGTGTTTTCAATGAGATTCTGTTTGGATATTCTCTCAGTTACTGGTTCAATGTACCAAGACCTAGTTTGGTTTTCCCAGGGATGTGGCCTTGTTATTTTCCAGTACTCTTTAGCAGTCACTTGGTTTCAGTTCCTAAATTTTGCTTTCGATAACATGGGTATGAGCATCACTTTTTATGAGTTATTTCACATTGCAGGAAAATTTGGTGTGTGTTCCTGTGACGCTGTTGTACTATGATGTAACAATTGGAAGTTGTGTTGCTGCATCAAAGATGTCTGTATGATAATTGTACTCTGCTTGAAATTCCTAGTGGTTTTTCTTTTAGGATTGAGATGACTTTTGTATTTGTATATTAATTTACCTTTGTCTAGATTTGCTGTGAACTAACTCAAGCTCTTATAAAACGGTAAGTTTGTTGTAGGAGCTCTCATCTCAGGAACACAAAATTGTTAAGGAATTGTCATGTATAGTCCTGCAATAAACAGGCTGAATATAGTTTCCTGTTTGTTATTTGATAATCCTGCATTCCTTGATTTTCATAACTGTATTATTATCAGTCTCTAATTGTGGAAATTACAAATTATTATTGTCATGCCGAAGCAATTTTTTGAAGTTTTTGTTGGGAGATTAGTACATACATCATCTTGCATTTGTGCTTTGATACGTAAAATTCGTGTGGCACAAAAAAATTTACCTCAGACAACCAAATCTCAGTGAGCTCTTCCTTCATGACTGATAATAAATTTAGATATGATATTATGGTAACAGCTAGCTTATCAGCTTTTTCTTTTATGATTTCTCATTTCCATTTTTGTTTTTTGGATATGAATTTTGTTCATATTGTGCTATTCAACATCAATAGGCTAAACATCTCCCTTGAAACCTACCAATCAACATGCATGGTCTACCATGTATTGGATCAGATATCACAGTTCACCAGATTAATTGTTTAAGAACATGTTTTAAATTCAAGATCTGTTTGATACCTTTTTCTAACTCAAGGCTAAAGACATTATAGGTGAAGAACTTTAATTCCTCGTCTCGAAATAAGTGTTACCCTAGCGAATATCACGTCCATTAAAAAAAGGTAACACTTATTTTGGGGGAAGAAATAATATATTAGGCTCCAAAAAGTTGAGGAGTTGGTGTCTGATACTCTTTAATATTCTTTACTATACTTGCTACAGTGGGAGTGAATTTGGTCTTTGTGATGTCCATTTCCATGTCACAGAAAACGAGACCAAGAATACTATAGAACTTCTCAACGACGTCATGGCCTTCGTATATTATTTGGTTTACATCTTTTGACCAAAACCTAACCTTTTTTCAACTCAATGGCTATAATACTGACATCTTCTGTCTTTCATTAAATTCCTAAACAAAGAGATTTTTAGCCTGAGAAAATCAGACAGATCATATATATGGCAGGTTCAAACAACAGTAGTGTCATAACTTTGGAGACAACACCAACATGGGCTATTGCGGTTGTGTGTTTCATTTTAATTACTATTTCCATTCTTATAGAACATGTCCTTCATCTCTTAGCTAAGGTATGTCTCGCTCTCTATCTATCAAAATAATGGAGTAATAGTTTAAAGTTTGGTTTTCTCTTTAGAATAAGCAATAAATAGGACAACTCAGTGCAGTAAGTTTTCGTTATGTATATGGGATCGAGAAGTTAATTAAAAGAGTACCAGAGTACGCTGATCTATCAATCTATATATTATATGTCGTATTACCTTTTATTTTCGCATGAGACTGTTTTCATGTCTTGGAATTGTAACCTACTAATCACACGACAACAGGCACTTACTATTGTTGGTTAGGAACCAACTTCAAATTTTGATTGGTTTTGAATTCATGAACCTTGTAGTACTTCAACAAGAAGAGAAGGAAATCTTTGATTCAAGCTCTAAACAATATCAAATCAGGTACTACTAATTAATACTTACAAAATTTAAATGAATATATTACTATTTGTTTTAGCTAGCTAGCTAGAATATTGGTTGCTTAACTTTTGTATATAAAATTGTTTTTTTTAAAAAATTTGAAGAGTTGATGCTTTTGGGATTTGTCTCTTTATTGCTGACTGTTCTCCAAAAGCCTATTGCCAAAATTTGTATCCCAAAGGATGCTGCTCAGACTTTTCTTCCTTGCCAAAGCTTGACAAGTGATGATGTTGAGGAGGAATCAAAATGTGAACAACAGGTATTTTTTTTTATTGTAAATTTAATTAAAGCTACAAGATGTTTAGTCCAAATGAATTCTCACTGCTAGAAATAGAGACCTTTTTTCCTCGCGAATCAATAGGAAATTTATGTTATGAAACATGATTTTCCTACACTATTCCCACCGAACTAGCTCACTGAAAAAACTCATGTTGGAAAATTAATTCCTATTGAAATACCGGGAAGAGCAAACTGGACATTTTTGCTTTTCTCACCGATTCAATTAAAATATCCGTGGGAATAGCCAGTAAACATTTTTCAAAGGGAAAATAGTGTTTTTTTTAGTAATATTTATGTGTTCAAATTTTATTTTCAGGGAAAGAAATCTTTGATATCAAGAGCAGGTGTCCAGCAGCTTCAGCTTTTAATATTTGCTCTTGCTTTCTTTCATATTCTTTCTTGCATCCTCACCTTCAGTCTTGGAACACTCAAGGTAATTTATTAAACTTGTTTAATTGTGTAGTAAAATCACCTTTATTTTTATTTTTGTGACAGAAATATTTTTTTAAGTGATTTTGTGTGTGAGAGATATCAATATATAATAAAGTGATTTTTCATTACAAAAAATAAAAAAAGTACTCTACTACATATTATCACTAATATGATAATTATGTAGTGAGCAATCAATTCCAAACATCATTAAAGCCAACAAAACAAAGAAGTAGGGAAATTGAAATCGAAGTCTTATATTTGAACATTATTATTTGTGCAACTGATTGTCAGTCTTGTAGACAATTTGGCAACTATTGAAGATATTGTAGCTTGAGTTGGACATTTGCACATATGTTTGTGATCATATGTATGTTATTCTTACTTACTACTGTTTTTTGGTAAATGGTCAGATGAGAAGATGGAAATTTTGGGAGGCAGAAACAACAACCTTAGATTATCAATTTTCACATGGTAAGCTCCTGTCCTAAAATATTAATTATTCTGAATTAAGAGAAGATTAGAAATGTGGCAAGGGCAATTTAGAAAGAAAGAATTAAACATCTTTTTAACGTAAAATATTAATTATTCTGAATTATTCCTTCCGTTCCTATTTACGTGTTTTTCTTATTAAAAATAGACGTTTCTTAATATTTGCCATTTCACAAAATCAATGCATAAATGACACTAATCTTTCTATTTTACCTATTAGCCTTGAAAGTAAGTAATCCATATTCATTGGTCAAATTAGTTAATCAAAGTAAATTAGTTCATGTTTATTTACTGAAAACTTGACTATAAAAGAAAGCTAAATAAGGGTATAATAATGATAAACTTAGCTGGTTACTTAAGAGGCGTGAAACCTAAAATGGTAACAACTAAATAGGAACGGAGGGAGACTTGTTTAGAGGTTAAAACATCAATTATTCATGTCGCGTCTCCATGCTGCAGGGACATTTGTTTCTGGTCTCAATTAAACACATTATTGTATGAGCAATTACTATGTCCCACCATATAGGCTTAATAAGGAAAATGTTTCACGAAAAAAATATGCAAGTTAGGTATACCGTAAACGATATTCTCTTATATGTCCATTTTTAATTGTCATAGTTTCTTTTTTTAGAGTCAAACGATAATAACTTTGACTAATATTTTAAGATGTATTTTTTCATCATATTGATATGCAGAAAAATGAAATTTATAGTACTTTTCGTATAGTTTTTGAATATCTTAATTTTTTGTTTAAAATATCAAATTAATGTAATTTAATTTAACTTTGAAAATTAATCAAATTGACTTTCGAAAAACGCAACATGACAATTAAAAGTGGACAACATCGGAAGTAATACTAAACACATTTTAATCTGTTATAGTATGTTTATTTATAAATTTTTTATTTTTTTCAATAGTAAATATAGACAGTAGACTTATTGATAAAGTAATTTGTAATTGTATTTCAATGATATCATTATCTAAATATGTACATAGAAATTTCAAACTCTGAACTTTCAACATATAATGACAATTTCAAACAAAGACGCGAGTGTTCAACTCAACGCTCTTTCCCCGAAAGAAAAAAACGTGCAGGGTGTTTTTTTTGTTGTTGTCATGTTTGGTTTAGTTCTTTTAAACATGTTTCTTTCCATTTTGATAAAAAAATTAATTTTGATTTTTTATATATGTTTAGGATTTTGGCATATTTGAATATATCTTTAATTTATGATCATAAATTCAAAAATCTTCTTTTCTTTTATAAACTACATATCTAATCAAAATAGAACAAATACACAACATTCCGATTTTCTATATTGACAACAAAAGAATCTTCCCTTTTTTTGGTGTCTAATTAATTAATGTTTTATAGATCCAAGGAGGTTTCAACTAATTCATCAAACATCATTCGGAAAGAGGCATCTCAATTTTTGGAGTGAACACCGCTTTCTGCGTTTCCCAGTAAGTAACTTAATTCTGTCTGCTCTGATATCATGTTAAAGCGTGTCATCATTTTATTTAAAAATTTAAACGGTTAAAGAAAATATTTTTATTACTTAATTATATTCTCAACAGTATGTTACTTTTTTGTGCTAGCTAGGTTTGTTTGTTGAGGCAATTTTATGGATCAGTATATAAAGTAGACTACTTAACTCTCCGGCATGGATTCATAATGGTATTTACAAAACTCATTTTGCTTTTATGTATGATGAATTAATTACAATATTTGATATTAGGGCATATACTTACTTTAATTTTTATTAATTAGGCACATTTTGCTGAAGGAACAGAGTTTGATTTCCACAAGTATATAAGAAGAGCTTTAGATAAAGATTTTAAAGTTGTCGTGGGAATTAGGTAACTTTATTATATATGTGGAAAAATGCATTTTTTATAATTTAATTACGTAGTTTATTACATTTTTCGTTTTGTTTGTTGATGCAGCCCATGGATTTGGACCTTTTCTATGCTCTTCATATTCTTCAATGCAAATGGTAAATATTGTAGTACTATATAATAACTGTGACAAAATTGTCAGCAAAATTTATTAGTATATTATTGATTTTCATTTGTTTATTTTTGTAGTGTTCCATAGCACCTATTGGCTTCCTTTCATTCCTCTAGCGGTAAGGAAATTTGATTGACTATCTGAATTTCACCTTATTGGTGAATATTTGACTTCTTCAGTCTCCACCTCGTAATTTCCTCCCCTACTAATTCCCCTTCCAATCACTACCTACCCCCTATGTAATTAAAAAAATAATTAAAAATTAGTGACTATATATATATATAGGGATAAGACATAAGTACAACTAAATTATGATCGATATCCTAGTGACATGCCTTTTATGCTGATATGGCACCGTAAAGTTGGCTTATCCCAACATGTATTGTCTTTTTCCTATGAAATAAATACAGATGTTAGTGGTGGTTGGAACAAAACTACAAGGCATAATCACAAAAATGTGTTTGGAGAGCAATTATAAGTCAAGTGTTGTTAGAGGAAACTTAGTGGTTAAACCTGATGATCAATTCTTTTGGTTTGGAAAACCCAAACTTCTTCTTCATCTCATGCATTTCATCCTCTTTCAGGTACTACTATTTTATCCTTTTTATTTTCACCTCTTTATTATTCACTTCTATATTTATATTTATTCATTTCAATTTCTTGTTTTTCGGAAAAAAATCTTCAGAACTCATTTCAGTTGGCATTTTTTACATGGACAACGGTAAGTGTTATGATTTTTTATTGAATCCCCTTGATATAATATAAATTGAAGATCGAACTTACAAGTCAGATAAATTTACCAAATATGGAACTTAATTAGCATTTTAAATAAGATTCTTAACTAATTTGTTGTTTTTTAATTGTTATTTGAACAGTACAATTATGGGTTAAATTCTTGCTTCCACCATAAAACAGTAGATATTGTGACAAGGCTTGTTATGGGAGTGCTTGTTCATTTTCTCTGTGGATATGTCACATTGCCTTTATATGCTCTCGTTACTCAGGTTACATATATCAATCCCTACTATTATAAAATATTATTTTTCGATTTGATTTAATTGTATATACTTTCTTTTTTTAATAGATGGGAACCAAAATTAAAAATAGTGTTTTCACTGATGGAATGATTAGTGGGATAAGAAGATGGCAAGAAAAAGCAAAGAGGAAATTGGCTAAAAGAAGCAATTACTTGTTAGCACAAAATTCTTTGGATAATTCATTATCTTTAAATATTTCACCATCTTTTAAAACTTCATTGGATGTTACATCATCAACCGATACTGAAAATGATGAAGAAATTGTAGATGATCAGAGGCAAATTAAGCAGCACACAGAATTTGGATCTTTTGGTGGCTTTCACTCTAGTATATTCTAAGCACAACACTAGAATTTTTATAGTGTAATTTTTTAGAGGCCGAATTTAGGATTTAAAGTATATATGTTTAAAATGAACGTGACTTTATTATTTGTATACACTTTATCGTTCAGTGACACCCATAGATAGTAGAACAACTTTCACATATAGCAAACACAAAAATCATATTTGTATGCTATAGCTATAGTTTGCATAATTGCGTTCCATAGCAAACATAAATATGTATATTTTGCTATACATATACAAAAGAAAACAATTGTATATAATCTGTTTCTATTTCGGTATACATATACAAAAAGATCAATTGTATAATATGTGTTTGCATAAAGTGAGAAAGAGAGAAAGACAAAAGAGAACTGGGCAGGGGAATATTTGTATTGTATAATTATAAGTGTATAGGACGAAGATATATGTATATGCATGTGTATATACAATTTTCTCTCGCTTTATACAAACAGAAACACAATTTATACATTTCTGTTTGTATAAGCGAGAGAGGCGAGGGAGAGACTAGCTAGCGAGATTTGGGAGAGGGGAACGAAAATATATGTATATATACAATTTTCTCTCGCTTTATACAAACACAAACACATTTTATACATTTGTGTTTGTATAAAAGCGAGAGAGGCGAGGGAGAGAATGAGAGTTGCGAGCGAGATTCACCAGGAGAGAGGCGAAATAACAACAGTTTGCTATGGAGTATAATTAAATCAAATTATGTTTATAGCATTTAATTTGAATTAATAGTTTGCTATTATATACAATTTTTCCTAGATAATATGGAGGGAATGTGGATCAAGCCCACTAGGAGAGAATGGATTACAACTAAAATGGACTTTCACTTCCATCTTCCATAAGTGGTCCAAAATTATCATTTAGGGTGTGCTCGCCTGCTCGGTACGGAGGAAAATATTTTTCAGAAAAATAAGTTAGCTTTTTGTTTTGTTTACGATGTTTATATTAAGAGCAACTTTCACATATATCAAACATAAAAATTATATTTGTATGTTATAACTATAGTTTGCATAATTGCGCTCCATAACAAATTTTATGTTTGCTATAGAGATTTTGATTTGTATAATTCGCTAGATACATCCAATTTTATACAAATTATTCGGTTTTGTATAAATTCATTTAGAAATTGTAATTTGTATGATAAGATCTATATTTGTATAATTATAAGTGGATAGGACGAAAATATATGTATTTATATTTGTATATACACTTTTCTCTCACTTTATACAAACACAAACACATTTTATACATTTGTATACCAAATGGGTAATTGTATACCGAACCAGATGGCAAAAAAATGGGATGTTTCTTGCGAATTACAAATAAAATAAACTATGACTATAGCATTTAATTTGAATTAATAGTTTGTTATTTCATATAATTTTCCCTTATATTAATTGATGTATAATTTTAAATTTTGGGAAATGGTTTGGAGGATAAGTAATTAGTGTTGATGGTAAAATATTTTTTTTTAATTGTATTTCCTTCATTTGTTAAAATAATAAATAAAAGTGAAAATTTATTTTAAAATATTGACAAATAAAAGTGAACGGAGGAGTAACATGCACCACTTATTTGCCTTGATTTACATGCAAATCATGCAATACTTAGCCGCCCACATTTATTTTCAATTAATAATCCTTGTCAACTTATTTAAGCGAATATATATATATATATATATTCGAATCTAATCATGTTAGGACATTGGTGCTAAGATCATTCAACAATAAATGTCATAGAAATCAACTTTTCGATAAATAGATATTCCCTTGGCCAATTTTTATTGAGCAACTTTCTCATATATCAAATATAAAAATTATATTAGTTTGTTATAGTTATAGTTTGCATAATTGCACTCCATAGCAAATTTTATGTTTGTTATGGAGCTTTTGATTTGTATAATTCGCTAGATACATATAATTTTATACAAACTGTTCAGTTTTGTATAAATTCATTTATACATTGTAGTTTGTACAATTATAAGTGTATATGAGGAAAATATATGTATTTGTATTTGTATATACACCTTTCCCTCGCTTTATACAAACACAAACGCATTTTATACATTTTATATCGAAATGTATAAAATGACTAATTGTATACCGAATCAGATGACAAAAAAATGGGATGTTTGCTGCGAATTATAAATAAAATAAACTATGGCTATATCGTTTAATTTGAATTAATAGTTTGCTATTTCATACAATTTTCCCATTTTTATTTGTCATGTATTAATTTGACACACATCTTAAAAAGTAATAATAAAATGATAATTTTTCTATATCACTTATTAAATATAAAAAAATCATTATTTCGAAAAATGACTATAATTGATAATAAGATAAATTAAGAACTAATTAAATGATATATTCTTTCTTGAGTTTCCAAACTGAACAAGTAAAAATAAACATATAATTTTAATATAGTAAATAAGTAAAAATAAATGTAGAGAATATTACATACCAAAATTCCGACACCTATTTTTATTGGCGACCAGTTACATTACGGTCTCTCTATTAATTAATAGAGAACGACAGGGAGACAGAAATTTGTTAAATTTATGCTTGTACAGAAACAATGACATGTTGGATGGTTATATAAAAACTTAAAATAGGTAAATACCTATTCGTATCAAATATTTACATTAAATTAATTTTAACTCATAATAATTATGCGATTTGATAAAGTGAAATATATCTTATTTAAATTTAATTAAACAATAATTGTATATGTATAATATGTTTAAACACATATTATGTATTTATTAATTTGACAAAATTATACCTAGAAAAATAGCTTTTTACCATTGAAATGACAATATTACTCTCTATTATTTCCTTTTGTACCTTTTGTCATTTAATATGTCTCAAGTACTCACCAACGAGATAACAATTATGATGGAATGATAAGTATTCGTTCATTTTTAATCAGAGTTTGGAGTTTGAGTTTCCTTGGGTGCGTACTCACCTTTGTTAGGGAGTACTTTACCTCTAATATATAATTTTTCGACACAAACTAAAGTTTAATCGAATTCTGATGTGAATATCAAACTGGATGAAAAACATTTTTTTTTTTAAAAAAAGTGAATTAATGCTCGGCTTTTTCCACCAAATGCGTATCATATTAAATATGATTCTTTATTTAGGTTTGTTTCAACTTATATATGCAGAAGTTAAATGTCCTTTGATTTAAGGTTTTTACACTTAAAAAGTAAAATAATTACTCCGTATGTATCAATCAGAGGTGTGAAATGAGTGAATTTGGACATGTTATAAGCGGATTATTTACCCATTTCAAAAATTATTTGGGCTAAAATACCGGTCATTATCCAATCCACCCAATTTTTCCTATGTTTTAATTACTTTATTTGTTTTTTAATAATTTTTTAGTATCTAATGATTTTATATAACATATAAAATATATATAAAAAAACATCCTTTTGATAATGTTTTGATTAGATTTCTCGTAAATGAATTTGGACTATACATATCAGTAACTTGTTTTTAATGGGCTGAACTGAGTTGAACTTAAAAAATGAGCTATACTAATAAATGGGTAGGTAAATAACTCGACCAAACATGAGTGATTTGAGTTTGATTTTGTCACCTCTAATTTCAATTTATGTGACACATTTTTCTTATTAATACTCTATCTGTCCCTAATTACTTGTCCACTTTTGAATTGATACACCTATTAAGAAAATAATTAATGACATAATGAGTACCATTTTATCCCTGTTAATTATGAAGTGGATGAAAAGTTCTACATTTTTCAAAGTAATTAATCATTTAATTGAGGGTATAATATATATATTTTAAAAATTGTCCTTTCTTGATTTGTCAAATTGGACAAGTAATTAGGCACAACTATAAAAGGAAAAGTGGACAAGTAAATAGGGATAGAGGCCGTATGTGTTAAAAAGAATGTCACTTTTTTAATTATTAAGAACAATTAACTTTATAATTTTCCTTTTACCATTAATGAAATAATTTTTGCTCTAATAACTAAGCTTTATTTTAGATCACGTACTTCAAAAGTCTTATTTATTGTTATAATCTTTATGTCTAGTTAAATAATGTCACAGATTGAGACGAAGAAAGTATTGAGTTACACTAATAATCCAATTCTGTTTTAAAAAATAATAATAGATGACTGATTTTTAATCTTGGTGTGGTTTTGGCGTATAGGCTCGGACTGGTAAAAAAAACATAATAAAATCAAACCATAACAACCAAATTAATTATATTTCCGTATAAGGATATCAAATTACTTAATTCAAAAAATTGAAAAATCATCGAAAAATTTCCTTTATTTATTTTTTATCATAGCAATTGCGTAAGTATACATATAGTAAGTATACACTAAGGATAATCATAGTATGATTATACAGAACACTAAGGATTACAACTGGATCTGGAGCCTAAATTGTCCTAACAAAATTAAATATTTCATGTGGTTCTGTAATCATAATCCTCTACCTATCTGTCATTATCTTAATTCTGTAGGTATTAATATTGAACCTCTTTGTGTTATGTGTAGTAGGCCCGAAATCATTACACACATCTTTTTACATTGCAATAACGTCCATCAATACTGGGACAATTTAGGTATGTTGAATGAAATCAGGGAGATAGCATATTTAAACGATGTTGATTGGCTTAATAATTGTCGTAAGATTAAAAAAAGAATTATCAACAACAAGTTAGACTGGAGCCTTGCCTTTCCCTTCTATATTTGGAATATATGGCTATCTAGAAACCACAATTATCATAACAATACTAAAGACAATATCCCAATGACCAATCCCTATGAGAGAACCATGGAATTTATACACTTAACTGGGAAGGACACGAGGGGAAAATGTAATATGGAAAACAAGGATGTTGTTAGTTGGGATCCACCGAACTATGGATATAAATTAAATATAGATGGGTCTTTTAACCACAACACAAAAAAGGGTTGTTTTGCGTGACACCGATGGGAAT